GCGCAGCGTTTGACGTTTCGGCCTCGTTTTCTTGTGCCGACAAGTTTCGGACTGCAAGGCGGGGGCCGTGTACTGGTGGTTTAAGGGACGCTGAGACCGGTTCTCAGCACGTGCTGCTCCCCACCAATAGATTGGAGCTCAGCAGTGTTGCACACCCCGACGGTCGGCGGCCCTTGACTGGTCGGCTGCCGACCCGCCGACCGATCGGCTGGTCGGCACCTAGCAGTCGGGGATCATCGGCACCCCGCACTTTTTCTTTTTTTGTTTTTGGGATCCAGAACCCCTAATAACCCCACCCAAACCCCCATAGCGGCCCCCAATACCATCATACACCAACCTAACACTCCCGAACCGCCCCCAACATCCTTATTAACCCCCCCAATATCCCCTATATCACCCCTATACTCCGCCTATACTCCAACCCATACCTGCGGCGTATTGCATGCGCGCGAGCTCCGCACGTGCGGCGCATTACGCACGTGCACGCGCTGCGACACACCCCACTAAATAGGGTATAAAAAAAAAATTGGAGAAGGGTGGCTGAGGTAGCCAATGGTGCACCTCCCCACAGAAAAAAAAATAGGGCCCACGTATTCCTTGTTGAATAGTCTTTTTCGCGGAGGACCCCAGCAGTACATATGCAAGGGTCCCAACATCTCAAGAGATGTTCAGCAAATTTCGTGTAAAAGAAGAGCAGGCCAGCAATATATGTTCTGGATCCGAAGTCAAGTCTGCTTTCGAGCAGTTATGGGTTACAAGTTACAACTACTTTCTACCGTAGCTCTCTCTTTCTTACGTGTCTTTTTCCTACGAGCAGTGGCCCTAAGGGCCTTGCTCCACTTGTCACCAGCACAAAAGACAAAACATATGCGGCGTATGTTTTCCATGTTCTAGCAGAAGATTCATTCCTCTCTTTCTTTTGTTTCCTTTTCCTACGACAAGTGGCCCTAAGGGCCTTGCTTCACTCGCCACCACTTGCACAAAAGACAAAACATATGGGGGCGCACGGTTCCATGTTCTAGCAGAAGATTCATTCTAGTTTTGCACATTTTTAGTGGAGGGAAGCCCTGAAAAGCACGTGGTGAGTTGGCCTGCTATTGCCCTGACACTCGCGTGCTCAGTGGTCCCATAACTGCTGAAACACGGACCTTAAAGTGAATCAACAGCATATATACTTGGCGTGCCATACCTTCAGCATGGCTATGACTACTACCTCGTTCATGGCAACGTGGCCCTTGCTGATTGTGTGCAGGGCCCTCTCAGATAACCCGCAGGGGGTTTGAAATAAATATTAATAAGGAGCTATTTGTTTACATTTTTCCCCCCCTCTCTCTCTCTCTCTCTCTCTCTCTCTCTCTCTCTCTCTCTCTCTCTCTCTCTCTCTCTCTCTCTTTTGCGTTTTCTCACACATAACAGCCGTTTTTTTTTTTTTTTGCGCATCGGTGACCAGCACACTTGCGCCGCAGGTATGCTCCACTACATCAAGCCTTTCCACAACCCTTTGATAAACTGAAGTGCTATTTTCAAGTCGCTGGGCCGTCAGTGCCTGTCACCTGGCAGGCTGGCAGTTTAAAACATGAAATTGCCAACACAGTGAACACACTCGTGCACAGACATATTGTTCGCAGAAATTGAAATTCATCCCTCACTCACAATTGCAGCCCCCTCCTTTCAACAAAGAGAGGCTCTCTGCTGAAAAACTGCAGCATGGACAATGGATGGAGTATATACTTTCTTTACCCATTATTCTTAACCCCTCTTATTCTCTGAAAACTGCAGCGTGGACAATGAATTGAGGAAACATTCGTTGAATTTCACATTCCCCTGGCTGGTAAGGGCAGGGGAATGGTTGAGATTTTTTGCAGTTTGCTTATGAAAAAATGGAGACTTACAGGTCAAATAACTGAAAAAATGGCACTGATGTTTCGGTTACTTACCTAGCAAAAAAATGGTGATTCATCCGCATTTCCCCCTCAAGACCACTACTTCCAGGCCCAGGGAATAGAGAAGAGTAGCCGTGCACAGAGAGCCCGCGGTTCAAATGTACAGGCCTTCACGCCGAATACAAATTGAACCGGCCACTGGTTCGGTTACTTATCTAGCAAAAAAAATGGTTATTCATCCGCATTACCCCCTAAAACAGCTACTTCCAGGCCCAGGCAATAGAGAAGAGTAGGCGTGCACAGAGCGACAGCGGTTTAAACGTACAGGCCTACCCGTGGCCGGTTCAATTCATATTCGACGTGAAAATTCACTGTCAACATTGCACAGTGGTGGTTTAAACAAAACAATGTGTTGCTCTCACTCACACAGCGCACACCAACAGACTAATAATCTGTCGCTATCATGCAGGGCAAACCAACAGACTAAGGCCCTGCTCACACTACCTTTTTTACCCGAATTTAACGCCCGGTCATTATGGCCGTAGTTGAGGCAATGTTCTGTCCAGATGCAGGGAGAATTACCGGGCGTTCTATACGGGTGAAGACGGTAGTTTTTTTCTGGATATATCGGACAGCTTTTACGC